AATTTAACTCCAATATCTAGAAGAATCGAAAGTTATAACAAGTGTGTTTGAATTTCTCTACGACATTGCTCAGCGATGGTAATGAGAGCTATCTTGAACAAGAAAAGAAATTCATTCATACATAACACATTGGCGATTCTGTATTCTTTGATGCCATATTTGTTCATAACACAGGAAATATAACAACAAAAGCATGTGTTCAAAGAACATGTTTATTTCTGATCAGATTTCACCCTTTCCCCGCCTCTTCAGCCATTAATGCGTCTATTTCCCTCACTCACTCAGTGATTATCAAATAACGTGTTAAAGTGCCGATACACTTTTCTCCGTTAATTTAAACCGGCCTGTAATACTATTTCAGATTTGGTAATGGCGACGGTTTTCTTTCTCATGGTCCCTAGGCAATGTTAGGGCTACTGTAATTGACTTAAACGCTAGATGACGGTGTGTTGTTAGCACTCGCAGGAATATCACTCCAAGACCAGCTCCTCCAGACATTGGTACCGCAACGTCTTGCGGTGCTGACTCGGAGATGTTAAAAAAAACACAGATGAACTTTTGGGAGGCAATGCGAGTTTATGCCATTATCACCAATTTTACGAGTTTGTCAGAAGTAAGACGACAAAATCATCGCATCGTCTTCTGCAGCGTCATGGGTATATATCCCTTTAAGCAAGATCATAGCTGTAACACTGGCTCATTTGGTACAACTTGTAGTTATGATTGAAGCCTTGTAAATGTATTAGCTATACCACTGATGACATATTAATTCACTGCAGCGTTATTTGCAGCATAACACGTGTTTTTATAGGATACATAGGCCGGATGCAATTATCATCCTCTGATTAAGGGGGGGACATGAGTAGCCCAGTGGTTAATGCAATCGCCCGTTGTGCCCTGGTTCGATTCCCCACATGGGTACAATGTGTGAAGTCCATTTCTGGTGTCCCCTGCCGGGATATTGCTCCCTAATAAAAAAACCCACATTCACTCACTCACTCTGATCAACCTTAAGACGTAACCCTTAAACTTTGAGTGTGCATGTTAAATATTTGGTATCCATATTACAGATACACTACTAAATTCCTGTAACATTACTAGTTTGTCAATGAAGGTTTGTCTACATAATGCAAGATACGAGTGTTGATAGATAAGTTCTGAGCATCCCATTGAAGGATTTCATGACATCTTTGGCTGTGGTCATTATATGATGTCAGAGAGATGTATCGCCCAAACTCCATTTGATGAGGTCATAAAATATCCCGGGGTCTGTGAACTACGGAAAACGGACAAACTTGAGGAACGTGTTGTAACCACGAACTTCCCTCAAGGTACTTATAAGGCATTTCGTACAACGCACAGAAATCCTACGCTACGTCCGAAGCGTGCGAAGAGGAATGTTGGTGAGTTAACCAAATCGACAAATAGCCGTAGGTCGATTTTTAATATGACACATACTAGAAAAAGGGACAAATAAATTAATGTTAAATATAAACAGTTACAAATAGCTGAAAGAACCTTTCTAGGTCAGCTTCAAACAGAGCTAGAATGTCAGCAACAAATACCGTTACGCGCACACTCAGCTAATACTATAGAACAGCAGCAGAGATCCGGTGATAGCCAGGGTCCGATCCACAAAGCGTCCGTAACGTTACGACCTGTCTTACCTATACAGTTTACCTTAGGTTTACGAATGTCGTAGCGCTACGAACGCTTTGTGGATCGGGACCCTCGTAAGATATTTCTTCAAAACAGTATAGTACTCCATCAACACCATGTGAACAATATTAAAGTTTCTTTATTCGACTTAAACTCATCCAGTGACCTTGACAGGTCACATGTTTAGACATAAATGTAATGTGTCAACATTTTCATTAATTGTTTTAACATACATGAAAACCAATGGCACATCCATTCACAATGATCATACAGTTATACTAAACACAAGTAACTTGTACAAAAGACGTGTTTAACAGTCACTGGAAGTGCAACACAGGTCAAGTATTATTTCTGCATATAAAATACGCCTTTGTCATGGTAGTTGCCATTAAAACAACACAAACAAGACATACATATTCCACAAAAATGTGTAGACGCACTGGAGCTCACCTATATAAAACACATTACACACGTCCGGAGTTTTACAGTTATGTCATTCATTGTACACTACTCGGCAAAAAAGGAATACACTTGAAAATTGAATTTTATGAAAATAAATTACAAACATCAAAATGTTCCTAGGTTCAAAACGATCGCCGAAACACTAAAAACCCATGGTACAAAACACATCCATGATAATGTATCAACTACATAACCATTGAATAATGACCATTTCACAAGGGTATATATACTTCTGTTTGCCCCGTTGGTTATATCATAAACTTTACTTAACAGTCAAACAGTTGAACCAACTTGCTTGGCCGTCCAATGTGCGCAACTAAGCCTTGTCCGCTGTAAACGTATGTCACACACCATTTCATATTTTATCATAGAATCTTGCTCCTGTCTGAAGCTGAGCAGAATCATGCATAAATGCTACACAGTGAAAACTAGAACTGGTAGCTTGTGTATATGCTGGAACGCAACAGACTCTGCAAATAAAACAGTTGGGAGAGACAGTACCCTTTTGATACCTGCATGGGGATGGTGTTACGCTGATTTCAATATTGGCAAGCAACATCACGTAGCTGTACAGTATTTGCACTGAGCCATTTTGAGAAATCGAACCCGGATACCACTTTAACCACTGGGTTAACTCATCCAATGGCGGTCCGGTAGCCTAGTGGTTAAAGCGTTCACTCGTTGCGCTGAAGACCCGGGTTCAATTCTCCACATGGGTGAAGCCCATTTCTGGTGTCCTGCGCCGTGATGTTGCTGGAATATTGATAAAAACGGCGTAAAACTATATTCATGCACTATCTCATCCCAATTATAATATAGCCTTGATACAACAAAGTTAAAGGGAGGTTAAATATATACAGTAAATATGAGAGAGTGTTAGGCTTTTTAGATATTTGAGGAAATCAAATAATCAAAAACACGTATCGATGTTGCCCGACATGTTCATGGATAGTCTTTGGTCAAAGTCTGAGAGTAACTACATTAGCTGCCATTGCAGGTAATCTGCCCCTTTGAGTATCGTCTATGAACACACCACGATGTAAATATATATTGAAGTAAAACGCCTATATTTAATATGTTTCATTTGACACAGAACACAAGAAGACGAACACATTGACACACAATAGACTTTGACGGTTTCCGGGTGAGGTCACTTGGAACACAAACGACAGTATGAAAGCGTTAACGTGGTGAGGTCTCTGTGACACATGCATGGCGAAATTGACATGATCATGATTGGCAAGATATCATTTGTGGACAATAATGATTGGATATGGAGTGCTCGGAAATATGACGTCATACGTTGATTGCACGTGTCATTTGACGTCATCTGCGGATTGAACATGTCATCTCTACGGGATGAATAAAGACTTACACAAAACAAGGACACAGATAATCCACTGGAAGCTTCCATCTTAATACGTCTTGAGGTGGGCATGTACTTGTGGTTCCCTGCTCTCTCTCTCTCTCTCTCTCTCTCTCTCTCTCTCTCTCTCTCTCTCTCTCTCTCTCTCTCTCTCTCTCTCTCTCTCTCTCTCTCTCACACACACACACACACACACACACACACACTTTGATGCAACCACACTTTGACACAGTACCATGTTATCAGCTCTGCAATTAAGGGCATACATCGCATCCTTTGATGTTCGGGGCCCCATGCTGCCATCAGCCGCGATTATTTCTTACAGCATATCCCGTAGACATAACCACTTACCGATGCACATAACAACAGCTACAACTCCCACAGCATCTACTGGGTCTACATCTACGACTGTGTCTGTAGCTGTAAGCTAGTTTTCCGATAATGTGGTAACAGATGAGACAACGTTCCTCAAGAAGAAGTCTCTTGGTCTCCTGGTACCAAGGTAAACGTAAAGCTTGATCATCAGACTCAACACACTATAAAACCTGACTATCGCTACCAATTGCCTTCAGTGAAACACATCAAAGAAAGGGAGACACCCCCGGTCACACGATACGACTTCCGCCGACTCATGAATTAGTAAAATGTCAGTTCCCGCCATTTAACCATCACACGTTATGTTTCACATTTCGGCGTCCACTGAACCGTTGTCTGTATCACGAATACTTTGTATACCACCACGTTGACAGACATGCGCACGTTATGAACACGTAGCCATACACGCGTTGTCGAGACAATATTGAGATCCTACTATACAAGGTTGCATCGTCTTTCTTGTGTGTAGGGTATATAAGAAAGGCTGAGCTATGTATGTGTTTGTATGTAGGTGCGTGTATGTATGTGGTATGAATATGTTGGTTTACACGTGTGTGCGTACGTGCTGTGTGTGTGTGTATGCGTGTGTGTTGGTTGTGATGGGAGGGCTTATGTGTGCTCGCGTCTGTTGTGTTTAACTTCTTTGGGTGGCATTTAGAAGTTGCTTGATAACGGCGTTAGTAGCAACACCGAAACGTCGCTCATATTAATATCAAAGAAGTTGTATATCCAAAGAATTCTCCTCGCTGTTATGTTTAGACAGTGTAGTGTTGAACATTCACGGTTCAGCGTTATATAAATTATGCATGTGTAAGAAAATTAAAGTTATGATATAATTGGTGTGTTGGCAGACATAAACTTGTGACGTAATTTCGTGGATGGTAGGAGTGTGCTGACGCACAAGACCTAGTTCATGTGATGTCATAACGACAGTGAAGTGGATGATGGTGACGTCATAATGGAAACGTCATAACGTGAATGAGGGAAACGTCATGACGTCGATGATGGGAACGTCATAACGTGGATGGTGGGAACGTCATAACGTGGATGGTGGGAACGTCATGACGTCGATGATGGGAACGTCATAACGTGGATGATGGGAACGTCATGACGTCGATGATGGGAACGTGTTGACAGACAAGACCTACTTCGTGCAGCGTCGTGACGAGGGTGAAGTGTATATGTTCACAGACACGACCAAGTTCATGCGATGTCTTAACGTGGGTTGTGGATAAGTAGCTGAGAGACAAGACCTACATCATGTGGTGTCATAAGTCACTTGTCTGTACTGACGACATGTCCAATTTGAGTCCCCTGGTCTGGAGATACTGCTGGAAGTCTAACATGCGTCTCTCTTCCGTGTCCAGTGGGGACAGTGAAAATACAGACACCTCTTCAGGTGTACGGGCGGACGCTATGCTGCCGGTCAGACTCAGGAGGCTGTGGAATGTCCCATCGCCCCCGGAGATGGAGTCTTGGCTGCTGAAGGCGCTGAAACCAGGGCGGGTAACGGTGGAGGCACAGGGGGCAGAGAGGCTAGGGGGACCGTTGGCGGAGAGGGTGGAAGGCTGGCTGGGGGACCCGGGGGAGACGCAGAAAGGAGAAATTTTATCACGAGGGGTGGACAAGGGAGACAGGGAATGGATTTCTGAGGGGGTGGCAGACATCAAACGTTTGACGGGAGAGTCTTTCCTGTGTTTGTAGTCTACACCATGCACTGCTGCTTCAAGACACTGCATGTCCTCTAAATAACTAAGGTCGGAGTCGCTGCCTTTATCCAAAATTTCTTCCTCTTTGTCCCCTCCCCTTTCAGGGTCCCCTTCTTCGTCGGAGTACAGCCCCAGTAGGGGCCAGCGTTCATGAGTCTTGGGGTTGTTGTCAAAGTGATGCACTACAGGGGAGTAACAGCGAGGGGAACACGCCAGAACCTTTTTATGGCCGCCATAGTCAGAACTATCAGTCGAGGCCCTGTGTCGCAAACCACACCCATTGACCAGCTCGGTCTGACACTCAACGTCTTTTTTCAAAGTGACTTCAACCTGTGGTGTACACGGCTCCTCCTGGAAGGTATCAAGGGCAGGTAAGTACAGCATGTCCAGGTCTTCTGACATCTGTTTCCGGAACTTCGAAGGGCCTGGATTGCACCTTCGACGGGACTGCTGCATTTCCGCGATATGACTTGGTCGTTGTGTGCAGAACCACCTGTGTTGGGGTGATGCATGGGACGGGGGAAGGCTTGACCTTTTCACCCCTGGCTTGTCGCTCTGCTGAGATCCAGGTGGACGGCCGATGTCTGACTTGAACCATCCCTCATACTTCTTCTCTCTGCAAAAGATAATCAATCTGAAATGAGTCTCACCTTCATTGGTGCATATCTATACCTTAATCTAGTCCCACACCAATGCACAGTACTATGTCTAGTACCCCATCCATGTACATACTACCACACCGGCCACTGTAACCATCTGTACCCTACCCTCGTCCCCCATCCATGTACGTACTATGTCCACACACCAGCCACTGTAACCATCTGTACCCTACTCTCGTCCCCCATCCATGTACAGTACTATGTCCACACACCAGCCACTGTAACCATCTGTACCCTACTCTCGTCCCCATCCATGTACAGTACTATGTCTACACACCGGTCACTGTAACCATCTGTACCCTACTCTCGTCCCCTATCCATGTACAGTACTATGTCTACACACCGGTCACTGTAACCATCTGTACCCTACCCTCGTCCCCTATCCATGTACAGTACTATGTCTACACACCCGCCACTGTAACCATCTGTACCCTACTGTTGTACCCCATCCATGTACAGTACTATGTCCACACACCGGTCACTGTAACCATCTGTACCCTACTCTCGTCCCCCATCCATGTACAGTACTATGTCCACACACCGGCCACTGTAACTATCTGTAGCGACGAATCCATTAAACAACAAATCCTCACATATGTTTCTTTTTAAATAGAATATAGGTAAGATGCTGACAGTTTAAATTCTCAATGTCTGTAACCAATAAGATTGAAGATTCACATGTCACTTTGTTCTTTTTTTAGCCTCCAAAGAGAACCCTAGAATAGCTAATATTCCCGGTAAACATCATATAAATAAATTAGTAGGGCAGTTTGTCGCTAAATGTCAACTGTTCAATGTAATCAGCTGAGGCGCCTCGTGTTATTTAGTGTTGCTTTGAAAATGTTTTCACTGATGTGCCCAGTACTGGCAATATGCCACCATCTGAAGCTGCTGTCTATATATATTTGTCATTTCGGCAGATAATCCGAACTGGTTTATCTCAAGCGTGGATGGTAGATAGTCACATGCAATAAACTTGATAAATCATTTGTGAGCAGACGTGTCACAGCAACCCAATGGCGTCGATCACTGCCCATGTCAATAATTTACAGCATGCAATAGCGGTGCAGCCGCAATATTCCTAAAACAGACAGTGGGGACACCCTAGACTTGCACAGGTCTCTACCATAGTTATGATAATTTAGCTTAAATGATAATTTCTAAAATATATATATCCCTGTCGTACTGTCCACTTTTCTATGTATGCCTCTTTAAAGGATAGAATTACTATTTATCCATGACCAGAGCATTCACAGCAGCCTTGGAGCAAGGCTAGGGACACCGTGAACTAACCCAGTTACTAGTAACCTACGCCACCATCATGCAGTGAAGCGCATCTGTCGACGATGACGTTCTACAGCGCAGACAGCAGTAGTCGAGGCGATTAGATGGCTACCTGAGTGGCGAGTTGGTTTTAACACCGTAGAATGGACCATTTCAGTAACATGATGACGTGTCAATATTATTTGAAAACATTCACGCTGGCTGTAACCGTGTAATAACTTCATTAATCTCAGAACAATGACACGCAAAAATCACACAGTGATATAATCTGGCAAATCGGGGATTTGAATCCAGGACCAAATGAGGTGGGGATGAATATAAGATACAACTCTCGGCGACATGCACAACCTACACCGCTGCGCTAACCCTACACAGCTGTCACTGTGGAGAATGGTTCTAATCGCGTCCACGAGAAGTGACGGAACTTCAAATTAAAGAAGACATCTTGTTCAGAGCCCGTTCCTGTCTGAACACGTGCAATCACAATATCCCTGACATTTGATATGATAGCATTCATTTTCAGAACTGATTTGATTCCATTAGAAATTTATTTCTTGTGCCCAACCCTAGTATTAAGGTAATTGTAATGGTGTTTTTACTGAGGAAGCGTTACTAGCCCCCTGATTACATCCGTAGATGGGACTTACAAGAAGCAAAAGAACGTATTCCTGGCACGCATGCTAACCATTTATGTAGGAGATGGCAATGAAACATTCATTTGAGTCCATCCCATACGTCTCTTTAAAACAGCCTGATGATGTTCCGTGGAACAACACACCGGTCTGTGAGGCCGATGCTGTTACTGCTTCTTACTGTAGATTTAGATACTTGAACACGTGATAAAAACCACATCCCATTCCGGACGCTTCCGGTCAGTGGCAATCCAGCTGCCGCTTCAAAATGTCAATACTGTAGCTTTCAAGCAATATAACCGTCTCATCCATTGTAAGATCCAACGATAAGGCAAATCTGACGCTAGCCTGTATCAAAAACATCTTAATAACTCATTAACATTAAAGTGACCTTCCAGTCTTGTTGGATATCAGATATGATGTAAATAATTAGTGAATGTTTACGAGCTGCGGGTACCTGTCATGAGATTTTGTGAGGACCTGACAACCGTTATCTTCTATATCTTCTCAGTATATTCAGGTTTCAGGTACTTGCAAATACAGATTCACCAGGACGTATCACCACACACAGACTTGACACGTGTACCTGCAGACAAAGACTAGACAGGGATACCTGCAGACAAGTATACCTCCAGATACCGCCTGAACACAGGTGCCGCAGGCAGACTGGGCATGGGTACTGCTAATGCAAACTAGACATAGGTAACACCTGACACTGACTGAGCACAGGTACCTTCAGACACCCACTGAACACCCAGACACCTACGAAAAAGGCTTCCTCTGACACGGGTACCTCTAGATATGTAATAAACAGATAGAATCTCTAGACACAGATGGCACACAATACTCCCAGGCACAAATTACACACAGGTGCCTTCAGACAGAAATAGCAGGCACGGGTACCTTTAGACACACAGCAGACACGAGATCCTATAGACACAGACTAGACCCGGATACAAGAGAAACGGACTAGACACGGAATCCTATGGCCACATACTAGACACGGATACACGAGAAACGGACATTTTACCTCGGGGTGCTGTCTATGCTTTAGTACAAGCGTAATTATTACAGAACAGCGTGTTCAACCCATTGCATGTCCGCGATTACTATATCCTACTGAAAGTTAGGTCAACCAATTACTTCCTCCATGGCATCTCTATTATAAATCTGACAGTATCTGAATTGCAGAAAACAACTGCGAATGCATTATAGATGAATTAAAGCTATTTATGAAGCATACAACTCCGGATGTCATCGACCATAAATTTGCAGTGAATGGGAGAGACAGTGCCTTCAGTTGTGGTTAACGCGTTATCCGCTGTTGTAATCTCGGCGGTCTGCTGAACTAAAGGGACAACTCGACGACACGGATTCCCTTGTAGTGTGGCAGCTGTGATGTCGGGTTGGTCTCTGGAAAACTACTTCTAAGGCAGAAGACATTTCACCAATCTCGTCTCGTCGTTTGCATACCAGAGCAGATCGGTCTCTAGCACACCACGCTGGTACCACATATGAATTACTTAGCAGAATAGCTCTCTAGTACACCACGCTGGTACCACATAGGAATTACTTAACAGAATAGCTCTCTAGTACACCACGCTGGTACCACATAGGAATTACTTAGCAGAATAGATCTCTAGTACACCACGCTGGTACCACATAGGAATTACTTAGCAGAATAGCTCTCTAGCACACCACGCTGGTACCACATAGGAATTACTTAACAGAATAGCTCTCTAGCACACCAAAACAGAATAGCTCTCTAGCACACCACGCTGGTACCACATAGGAATTACTTAGCAGAATAGCTCTCTAGTACACCACGCTGGTACCACATAGGAATAACTTAGCAGAATAGCTCTCTAGTACACCACGCTGGTACCACATAGGAATTACTTAACAGAATAGCTCTCTAGTACACCACGCTGGTACCACATAGGAATTACTTCTAGCAGAATAGCTCCCTACCACTCAGAATAGCAGGAATTGCTGCACCAAAACAGAATTACTTAGCAGAATAGCACAGCACACGCTGGTACCACATAGGAATTACTTAGCAGAATAGCTCTCTGAAGCACACCACGCTGGTACCACATAGGAATTACTTAACAGAATAGCTCTCTAGCACACCACGCTGGTACCACATAGGAATTACTTAACAGAATAGCTCTCTAGCACACCAAAACAGAATAGCTCTCTAGCACACCACGCTGGTACCACATAGGAATTACTTAACAGAATAGCTCTCTAGCACACCAAAACAGAATAGCTCTCTAGCACACCACGCTGGTACCACATAGGAATTACTTTACAGAATAGCTCTCTAGCACACCACGCTGGTACCACATAGGAATTACTTAACAGAATAGCTCTCTAGTACACCACGCTGGTACCACATAGCACAACGCTGGTACCAGAATAGCTTCTCAGCACACCAAGCTGGTACCACATAGGAATTATTTAGCAGAATAGCTCTCTAGCACACCACGCTGGTACCACATAGGAATTACTTAGCAGAATAGCTCTCTAGCACACCACGCTGGTACCACATAGGAATTACTTAGCAGAATAGCTCTCTAGCACACCACGCTGGTACCACATAGGAATTACTTAGCAGAATAGCTCTCTAGCACACCACGCTGGTACCACATAGAGATTACTTAGCAGAATAGCTCTCTAGCACACCACGCTGGTACCCTACAGGAATTACTTAACAGAATAGCTCTCTAGCACACCACGCTGGTACCACATAGGAATTACTTAGCAGAATAGCTCTCTAGTACACCACGCTGGTACCACATAGGAATTACTTAGCAGAATAGCTCTCTAGCACACCACGCTGGTACCACATAGGAATTACTTAGCAGAATAGCTCTCTAGCACACCACGCTGGTACCACATAGGAATTACTTAGCAGAATAGCTCTCTAGCACACCACGCTGGTGCCACCACATAGAATTACTTAGCAGAATAGCTCTCTAGCACACCACGCTGGTACCACATAGGAATTACTTAGCAGAATAGCTCTAGTACACCAC